AGGATGAGGAGTTTTTTAATAGCAACTGTGTAATTTCTACAAATAAAATGTTTCTTGAGACCTTGAGACTGATTTCTCAATGTTGGTAATTGATGTGGCATAACAAAGTATAAACCTAAAGTCATTCACATAAGAAGTTTCATAATACCTTAAAAAATTCTGAAACTCTATATAGAGCTGAAATTGTTTGGATTTGCTTAATATGGCAAGTGTGTAGGTGACAGGTGAAAAAAGGTACATGTTTGCTCTTTATTTTATGTTATCTTTGAATTGTGCAAATTGTGGCCAATTTGAATGCATTAATGATAAACTCATAGTCAACAATAATGCATTGGTGTCATATTAAAGAAAGAAATCACCCTTTCTCTTGGTGTTATTTAATGAGAGAGAGCTCATATTTGAATTTTCTACTTTGGCCTCACTCTCTCTTCATTCCTCATAAATAATTCCTGTGCTATTTTTGCTAAACAACACAGAAAATATCACATGGGAAAAGAAAAGGAGATACTTTGCAGAAATCAAACAAAGTTTCACTGACTACACAGGCGTCATCTGACCCAGATAATAAATAGTAATACAAACATTGTTGTTTTATAAGCAATAATCACATGTTCTGTTCAATTTTATGGTGCATGTTCATTTTGTAAGGTCATTTTTGTCTTAGTTGCTGATTTTAGAAAGTAATTATAACGCACATGTATACCCTTGGTTCAGAAGCATGGAAGAGTACATAAGATTAGAGCTAAACTTTAGCTTAGGTTGTAAACGTTGATTACATGGGAAATCCAGTGCAAGTGAAGTTGGGTATTACATTATTCTCCTAAAGGCAGGTTAAAGAAATGGTCTGAGTATACACTAGGCTAATAGTCTTAGGGAACCTCAGATTACATTTTTGACTTTGACTGTAATGTCTAACAATACTTGTAGCCTTTTAGAACCTAAGAGATAATTTAATACTAATAAATTGACACAATGGTTATTTAACTTATTCAGACTTCAAACATATGTAATTACCATTTATTATATATATATATATATACAAACTTTTAATACTATGTTTTATTGAACATAACCATCTTTATAGAATGGGACAGAAGGCAAACCGCAAGCCTGGGGAGTTAATTTAATTCTAAACATAGCCTATAACTAGATTTTTAAAAATTCTTTCATTTACAAAAATGAAAGAGCATATAAAATAAGTGAACGTTAAAGCTATAACCAAACTCTAGCATATAGATTAATGGGGAATGGTTTGAAACTTAAGGCCATTAGAGTGAAGGGAATAAGTAGCAAAAGAGAGAGAAAGAAGAAAGACAATTGTGTGCTTTGCAAAATGTAATTGACAAATAAGCCTGCATTGATATCTAGACCATAAGTAACTGTGTTACTGTTTCATTAAAAAGTACATTCTCCCAATTTTACTTTGCAGTCATTCTCCCCAGTGTCCCAAATAAAATAGCATGGGCTAATGTTTTCAAGAAAACAGATGATATTTGTAGTTTTACAACTACAAAGCAAGCTTTATATTTTACTTGTTTTTGTCATTGTGATAGCTCTTATTCACAATTAGGTTTGTATGGAAATGCTGCATATTTATTTGCACTGACCAAATCAAGGTACCTCTGAATAGTCTACCCACTGGGTAAGTTGGTGAGTATGTTGTAGTATAGCTGTGCTACCTGGCACTAGTGGTTCCATAAACATCAGTCAGGTTCTGATGTCACCCCAAAGGAGAAGAGATGAGTAGTCTAAATGCATTCATGAACAAAATCTGAACACTCATAAGGCCACACAGTATGGTTTCATTTGCACAATGGCCTGAAATGGGCAACCATACATTATAGAGCTACCTATCAGATTGGTTGTCTTGAAAGCTTAAAATTAAACCCTAAAAGTTCAAGAGGAATATTAATAGATTTTATATAAAGATTAGATAAAGTATGTTCTTCTAAGTTATCATGGACTGTAAGGCAAATAAGTCATACTATATAATTTATAGATGTTTAAACAAGAAACCACCTAAAATAAATAGCCATTAAATTAAAGGGAGCCCTCATTTGCTTCCAGTTGGCTCTACTCAGGAAAGAATCTGGATTAGAGTCTGTGCCAGATGAGAAGTGGGAATAGTCTACATTCTTTCCTTCATTTTTTTAAAATTTATTTATTTATTTATTAAAAATTTCCACCTCCTCCTCTCCTCCCATTTCCCTCCCATTCCCCCCACTCCCTTTCCCCCTCCCTCTCCAGTCCCAAGAGCAATCAGGGTTTCCTGCCCTGTAGGAAGTCCAAGGTCCTCCCCCCTCCATCAAGGTGTAGAAAGGTGTGCATCCAAACAGACTAGGTTCCAAAAAGCCAGTACATGCAATAGGATCAAAACCCAGTGCCATTGTCCTTGGCTTCTTAGTCAGCCCTCATTGTCAGCCACATTCAGAGAGCCCAGTTTGATCACATGCTCCATCAGTCCCAGTCCAGCTGGCCTTGGTGAGCTCCCCTTAGCTCAGTCCTATTGTCTCAGTGGGTAGACGCACCCCTCGTGGTCCTGACTTTCTTGCTCATGTTCTCTGTCCTTCTGCTCCTCATTTGGACGTTGAGAACTCAGTCCAGTGCTCCAGTGTGGGTCTCTGTCTCTATCTCCATCCATCGCCGGATGAAGGTTCTATGGTGATATGCAAGATATTCATCAGTGTGGCTATAGGATAAGGCCAGTACAGGCACCCTCTCCTCTGCTGCCCACGGAACTAGTTGGGGAAATCCCCTTGGCCACCTGGTAACCCCTCTAGAGCCAAGACTCTAGCCAAACCTAAAATGGCTCCCTTGGTTAGGATAACTTCTTCCCTGCTCCCATATCCACCCTTCCTCTATTTCAATTATCCCATTCCCCCAAGCTCTCCCCAGTCCTCCCCTTCTCTCTTCTCTCTCCCCATCTCCCCTTCCCCCCAATCCACCCTCACCCCTCTGCTCCCAACTTTTGCCCGACGGTCTTGTCAACTTCCAATATTCAGAAGGATAAATATATGCTTTTCTTTGGGTTCACCTTCTTATTTAGCTTCTCTAGGATCACGAACTATAGGCTCAATGTCCTTTGTTTATGGATAGAATCTGCTTATGAGTGAGTACATACCATATTCATCTTTTTGGGTCTGGGTTACCTCACTCAGGATAGTGTTTTGTATTTCCATCAATTTCCGTGCAAAGTTCAAGACATCGTTGTTTTTTTACCGCTTAGTAGAAATCTAAAATATATATGTGCCACACCTTCTTTATCCATTCTTCTATTGAGGGGCACCTAGGTTGTTTCCAGGTTCTGGTCATTACAAATAGTGTTGTTATGAACATAGTTGAACAATTGCTTTTGTAGTATGATTGGGTATATCCCCAAGAGCAGAATTGCTGGATCTTGAGGTAGGTTGACTCCCAGTTTCCTGAGAAACCTCCACACTGATTTCCAAAGTGGTTGCACAAGTTTGCATTCCCACCAACAATGGATGAGTGTTCCGCTTAGTCTACAACCTCTCCAGCATAGGCTATCATTGGTGTTTTTGATTGTAGCCATTGTGACCAGTGTAAGATGGTATCTCAAAGTTGTTTTGATTTGCATTTCCCTGATCACTAAGGAGGTTGAGAATGACCTTAAGTGTCTTTTGGCCATTTGAACTTCTTCTGTTGAGAATTCTCTGTTCAGTTCAGTACCCTATTTTTTAATTGGGTTAATTAGAGGTTTAGTGTCTAGTTTCTTGAGTTCTTTATATATTTTGGAGATCAGACCTTTGTCTGATGCAGGATTGGTAAAGATCTTCTCCCATTCAGTTGGTTGCCTTTTTGTCTTAATGACAGTGTCTTTTGTATTACAGAAGCTTCTCAGTTTCGGGAGGTCACATTCATTCATTGTTGCTCTTATTGTCTGTGCTACTGGGGTTATATGTAAGAATTGGTTGCAGACTACTTCCAACTTTCTCTTCTATTCAATCAGGTTCCACATAGTCAGATTGATATTGTGGTCTTTAATCCATTTGTGGTCAGAAAAAGAGAGATATACAGTAAAGAGATTCAAAGATAAAGAAAATGTTTAAATGATTTACAGTGTTAAAAATGTATGCAGACTAAAACTTAAAATTCTTAAAGTAAAAAAAAAAGTAAGAAAAAGAGAAGTTGAGTGTGGTAGTACACCCCTTTAATCCCAACGCTTGGGAGGCAGAGGGAGGTTGACCTCTGTGACTCCAAGGTGTGGTAGCACACGCCTTCAATCCCAGTGCCTAGAAGGCAGAGACAAACAGATCTCTGTGAGTTCAAGGTATGGTAGCAAACACCTTTAATCCCAATGCCTGGGAGGCAGAGACAGGCAGATCTCTGTGAGTTCAAGGTATGGTAGCAAACACCTTTAATCCCAATGCCTGGGAGGCAGAGACAGGCAGATCTCTGAGAGTTCAAGGAGAGACTGGTCTACAGAGTTATTCCAGGACAAAGATACAGAGAATATACAATAAAAGTAAAAATAAACGAAATAGAGGTTAAAATAAAGCGTACAAAGATGGAAAATACACAGAGAATCTTGATACTGTATACTATTATGCTCTCTTTGAATTGTTTGAATGCTGAGGAAGGAGCAACAGCTGCCAAAAGATATTTGTTTATAAATGCTGCTGAACTAATCCAACTTAGAGATTTTGATGCCTTGACTTTGAAATTTGGATCTAAGGACATGATGCTTTCGAAAGGAGTTTCCTATTTTGTTTTCACAGAGGATGAGACCATGTTCATTTCTTCTATTCCGATTTGGTATGATGGACCATGCCCTCCTGAACGGTTGCTGTGAATACCTTCAGAAAATTGCTTCACTCAACTGCCAACTGAGATGAAACTAGCACACAGGTTATACCATGAATGACCTAATTAACGACGCCCCATTCAGCAGGAAGCAGTTTGGAGAGAAAAAACTGCGCCCATATTCCCAAATACTGTTTATAAATATTCTTTTACATTTAAAGGGGGAGATGATATAGGTATGAATAATTTACATTGATATGGATTTTGCTTTAGTGATTTAAATTTAAGGTTAATTTTGTAATGTATATAGGTTGTTAATGGATAATCATTAATAATAGTCAAGTTTGAAGTCATGTTAGTTAAGGTTTTCTAGATGTGCATAGATATATTTTAGATAGGCATTCTTCATATTTTTCAAAGATTATAGAATATGCTATTAAATGTTTTAATAACTTAGTACTTTTCATGACAATGAGACACTCTGCTCTTGGCATCACCAATCTACTTCAAGAGGAAGATGGGCATCGAAGAGGATCCTTATGGAGTTTGATAGCCATTTGGGCAAGAAACTGCTCTTGCCTGGACTATTGCATAAACTGGACACAGAGAACCCGCAGAGAGAGGACTGCTGAACTTGCCTAAAGGTGAGATGATCTTTCCGGGTTCCTGATTCATGAAAGAGTCTGCAAGACATTCTTCAGGACAAGCAGATAGTGACTGTCTTTGAAATTTCCTGCTCTGTGGAAATGTCTGCTGGAAACTATGGGACTGTAGGCTGAAGATGGATGCCCCAATGGTACAGAGGAACTTTGGGTGACTGTCCAGTCAGCGAGATGTCTCTGTCATTTCTAGAGCTTTGGATGTTAAGTTAAAGCCTTCCTTTTTTTTTGTTTAAACAGAAAAGGGGGAAGTGATGTGGGAGTGTCATATATCAATCTGTTGATTTCATTGGCTGAGCAATAAAGAAACTGCTTGGCCCTGATAGGTTAAAGCATTGGTGGGAGGAATAAACAGAATAGGATCTGGGCGGAAGAGGAAGTGAGGTCAGACTCTGCTCTGCTTCCAGAGGGACCGAATAGCTCTGCTCTCTGGAGCAGAGACACCATGATGGACGGAGGCTAGAATCTTCCCAGTAAGCGCACCTTGGGGTGCTTACACACATCATTAGAAATGGGCTAGTCCAGGTGCGAGAATTAGCCTGTAGCCTGTAAGGGCTAGAGTTCATGGGCCAAGCAGTTCTTAAATGAATACAGTTGTGTGTTGTTATTTCGGGCATGAGCTAGCCAAGTGGCCGGGGTGTTGGGGACGCAGCCCCGCTGGATAGATATGGATCTATTTTCATTCTTCTACAAGTTGAAATCCAGTTATTCCAGCACTATTTGTTAAAGATGCTTTCTTTCTTCCATTGTATAATTTTAGCTCCTTTTTTGAAAATCAGGTATTCATAGGTTTGTGGGGTTAATATCTGGGTCTTCTATTCAATTCCATTGGTCAACATCTCTGTTTTTATGCCAATACCAGGCTGTTTTCATTACTGTAGCTATAATAGAGTTTGAAGTCAGGGATGGTAATGCCTCCAGAAGTACTTTTATTGTATAAGATTGTTTTGGCTATCCTAGGTTTTATGTTTTTCCATATAAAGTTTATTATTGTTTTCTCAAGGTCTGTGAAGAATTTTGTTGGGATTTTGATGCAGATTGCATTGAATCTACAGATTAGTTTTGGTAAAATTGCCATTTTTACTATATTGTTCCTTTCAATCCAAAAGCAAGGGAGATCCTTCCATTTTCTGCTATTCTCTTCACTTTCTTCAAAGACTTAAAGTTCTTGTCAAATCGATCTTTCACTTCCTTGGTTAGAGTTCCCACAAGATATTTTATGCTCTTTGTGGCTATCATGAAAGGTGATGCTTCTCTGATTTCCCTCTCTGCTTTTTGATCTTTTGTGTATAGGAGGGCAACTGATTTTTTGGAGTTGATCTTGTATCCTGACACGTTACTAAAGGTGTTTATCAGATGTAGGAGTTCTTTGGTAGAGTTTTTGGGTTCGCTTATGTGCACTATCATATCATCTGCAAATAATGAAAGTTTAACTTTTTCCTTTCCAAAGAATCCCCTTGATCTCCTTATACTGTCTGGTTGTTATTGCTAGAACAGAAAATACTAGAAGGAAAACCACAAACCAAAGAAGCCAACAACACCCATAATAACATAAGCATCTAATATCCCTCCACTAGTACAACTTAAAGAAGGGAAACACACAAACACTACTACCAGGAAAAATAACCAGAGTTAGCAACCACTGTTCATGAATAGCACTTAATATCAATGGACTCAATTCACCTATAAAAAGGCACAGGTTAAGAGAATGGATATGAAAACAGAATCCAACATTCTGCTGTTTACAAGAAACACACCTCAAATTCAAAGACAGATACTACCTCAGAGTAAAGTGTTGGGGAAAGGCTTTCCAATCAAATGGTCCAAAGAATCAAGCAGGAGTGGCTATATTAATATTTATCAAAATTTACTTCAAACTAAAATCAATCAGAAGCGATAGAGAAGGACACTTTATTCTCATAACAGGAACAATTCATCAGGATGACATCTCAATCCTGAATATCTATGCCCCTAATATAAAAGCACCCACATATGTTAAAAAAAATTACTGGAACTCAAAGCATACATCGAACCACACACTCTAATAGTAAGAGATTTCAACACTCCTCTCTCACCAGTGGACAAGTCAACCAGACAGAATCTTAGCAGAGAAATAAGAGAACAGATGTAATAAACCGAATGGACTTAACAGACATCTATAGAACATTCCACCCAAATAGGAAAGAATATACCTTCTTTTCAGCATTTCATGAAACCTTCTCAAATACTGATCACATAATTGGTAACAAAGCAAACATCCATAGATACAAAGAAATTATAGTAACCACCTGTGTACTATCGGATTACCATGGAATAAAGTTAGAATTCAACAACAGAAAGCCTACAAACTCATGGAAACTGAACAGTCAACTTCTGAACCACACCTGGGTTAAGGAAGAAATTAAGAAAGAAATTAAAGTCTTTCTTGAATTTAATGAAAATAAAGACACAGAATACTCAAACCTATGGGAAACTATGAAAGCAGTGCTAAGAGGAAAGTTCATAGCACTAAGTGCCCACATAAAGAAAACAGAGAAAGCACACATTAGAGACTTAACAGCACTTAACTAGAAAAAAAAGAAGTAAACTCACCCAGGAGGAGTAGAAGACTGGAAATAGTCAAACTGAGGGCTGAAATCAACAAAATAGAAACACAGAAAACAATCCAAAGAATCAATGAAACCAAAAGCTGGTTCTTGGAGAAAATCAACAAGATTGACAAACCCCTATCTAAACTAATCAAACAGCAGAGAGAGAACATGCAAATTATTAAGATCGGAAATGAAAAGGGGGACATAACCACAGACACAGATGAAATTCAGAGAATCATTAGATCTTACTACAAAAGCCTGTATGCCACAAAACTGGAAAATGTAAAAGAAATGGGCATTTTTTTTTTTTAGATAAGTACCATATACCAAAGTTAAATGAAGACCAGGTGAACAATTTTTTTTAAAAGAGATTTTCATTTGCTTATAAGTACAAATTTTATCTCAGTTGCATATAGCATTCTCTTTGATTTAAATAGCCATGTGGTTACATATATAACAATAGGGGGATCATAAGTCTATCAAATACAGCACATGGCATTTTCTCTCTTTTTTTAAACATGGGAGCATGTATGATCAATGCATGCTTTCACCATTTCTTTCCTTACTATTTCTCATTTCATGCCACAGAGATTACCATGGTGTTAAAAACATGTAATTTTTCATTCATCCCTCACAATGGTATTTATTGACTGCTCATATATTACAGTTTAAAATGCAAATAGAGACTGGAAGACAATAAAATACTAATCTATGAAAGTGTACACTGTCTTAGAATTTCAATTTAATTGAAATGTATATATTCTAAAATAGAAATAAAATACATTTTTCATTTTATTAACATATTAAAAACATAAACTGAAAGACAAATAAGAAATTAAAATTAAATAATTTATAATTGTTTAATATACAAACATTTTGAAAAGTTTTACAAATAGAATTACATTGTTTCTACAATCATTTTTAATTTAAATATTATAATTAACATCAATATTTACTACATTTACCAAGGTAATTTATATAGTAATCATTAATGCAAGGTTTCTATATGTGAATTACAATTGGTCTAGACAATATATACTGCTTAATTTATTCAGTGTTTTCACTAGCAAATTATTTATAGAATTTATGAATATAAATTGGATGTATTAAACAATAACAATCATATAGGAATATATTAAAGTATTTAGAGGTTCTTAAAGTTATTGCAAAATATTTCTTTCTAACTTTTCAACTGTCTGTTTTTATCATGTAGCTTTCTTTATTATAAAAGGCAATACATAGAATTTCAGTACTTTTGTGTGTGTTAGTCCTCATTGTTGGTGATTTTCAAGCATGCAGGCTTGAGTGTAAGGTTCTATACTCTAGCAAAAATGTTGTCTACTACTAATCATTTTTTTTTATTATCTAGGCTACCATTATACTATTTCAGAACTGCTGGCTATTAATTATCTCCCTAAATATTACTTCAGAGCACTCTCAGCACATCACAATATGAAAGACACCATCGCCAGAACACCTGCTAAGTAAAATGTTTAATAAGTCAAATACAGATGATTATGATATATCAGGGGATAGACATAAAATAAAGATGGTTTTGTTAGCCAGTTACATTTGACCCATATTTTATTACATCAGACTGTGAGGTGATATAGACAATCACTGAGTTAGATAGCAAAATAAATGTTGCAAAAAATGTATCCACATATATGCTTTCATTCTAAATTTTTCCCAATAACATAAGTATATGTTGTACTATTTCAAGAGTTTTTTAAGCTTACCAAATAAAAATTTATTAGATTGTATCTACTTGTAGCCTGGGGACTAAGGCTTCAGAACAAGAGGAAGAGAATATTGTCAAGAAAGATAAATGGAGCTATGAAATAGCTCCTTAATTCCAAAGAAAATGAATCATTATTCATAATAAATTTATCTGGAAAATATTAACATAGCAGTTTGCATCAAGAACCTGGTCTGTCTTATTTGAACAGAAAACCTAGTTTTCCTCTGGGGCATATTTTATCACTTAAATTATAAAAAAATATGTGATGAACACAATATTGGAAATAATAGAAGCTGAAATTTATCTTAAATGAGATTAGACGAGGCCATTGTTCCAAAGGCAGATGTCTCCTTTAAGCAGCTGTTGGGAAATTAATTTATCTCTCTAATATCTATCCTATAGAAAATTTGAGGTATCTTTGAAAAAAAATTTTGTCAAAATTTTCAATTACATTTTTCATAAAGATGTCATCTTTCTGGTAAGTGAAGCCCCATATCTGAAGCAGACAACTCACTTATGAACACCAAGCTTGCTGGATCTCTGCAGGATGTACAATAAGCCCCATATTCTTCATGGTTAAGTATGACTTGTTGAGGGGCGAGAGAAACCAAGGCCTCATTATTTCATGTACACAGGGATAAATATCTACAGACACTTTGTTTAAAACATGTTTGCTTTACATGCCACTTAACCCTTATCAATGTGAAAACAAATCACCATAGTAATGAGATTGATGTTATTTTACATAAAGGATTAAAGCTTGAATGAATATATTATACAGAAAGAGAGAATCTATGATTTTCTTAATTAGTCACTATGTTAATCTGATAGTTTGAGTGTTTAGATCATTATTTCCTATGAGAACATACCAGAAATCATCAGAAGTATATTTAGGGGCATCTCAAAAAAATAGTTGAATTGGGATTTTGATAGGGATTGCATTGATTCTGTAGAGACACAAATTCTTTCCTAATTCTAAGTCAAAATTAATTAAGCATATGTGCATATACATGTTTATATATGTATCAAGAGCCACCAAAACAACTTCAAAAAAATAAATTCTTCTAACACCGAATTTATTAACATGTTGACACTGTTCCAAGAACACTGGTAGGAAAAAAACAAACTCTGTCTTTGTTTTCCATACCAATGTAACTATTA